TTATAACTGACAAAACCAGTTCAAAGTCCAGAGCTAACATCTCACTACCAGTAGAGGGCTTCCAGTGCCAAGCAGTCTTTGGAGCAGGTATTCATATTTCGTATCGAAGTATATTTCTGAGGTAGGTATAAGAAATGAAAAACAAATTCAATCTTTCAAATTATCAAAATAATTTCGTTTGACTACGATTCCCACAGCCAACCGTGCGTACACTAGTGTGTGTGTGACTTTTGTCAATGTAGTAGTGCGATTCTATACCTATCCATTTTGTAAACGCGTCCTTAATACTCGATTGCATTTCACCTTCGCGTTTTTGCAGCGTTTTGATCAGACTATTACTCCCATTATATTTTAACAAAATATCCTCTAGTTGATCGCTCATGTAATTCATAGCTTTACTTATGCTAGATACTTGTTCTTTCACTCTAGATAATTCAGAACAAAATGCATCTTAAAATCCTCCATATGCTTTAATAAAACTTCTTCCATAATTTCGCGGATTCCTTCACGCGTTACAAGGGAGTCTTGTTTAGACGGTGGAGATGACATAGCTGGCCTTTTTGAAGGGCGCACGTTGACATTCTGCAGCTGACGAATTGGTGTGTTGTCATTTTTGGACCCCTTGGGTGTTGATTCTCTGCATTTAGGGCACAACCAATCCTTAGGGACGTTAGTGGGCGTAAGCTTTTTTCTGTCCCGCAGAGAGACATAGATAGTGATAAGCTGCTTTGCATTTTGAGCATTTTACATAATTGTCATCCTCATTGCCTGTAGAACAACACCCCCATTCCAGGTTTAACGAAGTCATTTTATTTTATTTTAATGCTCAAAAATATAACTTGAAAAGTGCACGGCAACAAATGACCCGTAACCGCCACAAGGAATGAGTTATAGTTAATATTCACAATTTAATTCGCACAGCAATAAAATGGCCGAACGCTGCTTTGTTTTGCGCGTTTAGTTGAGTTCGCGAGAAGAAGGTCTTAAGTGATGCGTGTTTAGAACACGCTTACGCGTTCGGATCGGATGATTGCACTTTGTAAAAATTAACGTAATGTGGGTAAATTCATATACCGCTGCACTTTATAACTTGATTTTTGGGCCATAATTAATGTTTACAGACTAGTATATTGCAAATTTAATTCACTCGATGTTTATTTTACACATTATACGACGTATATTGGCATCAGACGTTGTTGTAATTTCTTCAGGTGTACAATGTTTTCCGAGTCTGACAGTGAATTTGTCGACTACTTATTACGTTTGTTATTTTTAAATGTATATTTCTGCGCCAAAAGAACAAAAAAAACAGTTAAGAAGAGAAGATATTGGGTTCATAAGATAAATAAAGAAAGAGAAAATGTAGGTGAATACCATACATTATTAAAGAAATTGGTATGTGATGAAGACCGATTCTTTATGTACTTCCGTATGGCTAAAGTACAGTTTGAGGAGATTCATTGTATTATTGAATGTGACATATAAAAGAACATACACGTCTTCGGAAGCCAATTAGTACCAGAGAACGGCTAGCAGTTTGTCTACGATATGTTTTATCTGTTTTTCTATTACAGAGATAACTACGCTAGGTACTATAGAAAATAATACAAATAATAATGGTTAAGAATGTTTTTATTACCTACATATTGATATTTTCGTAATAACAGTGAATATTTTCGACCTCACCAGTTTCTTCATCATCATTAGCCGCTTCTGATGAAACTTGGGTATGGGGCAGTTCAAGTATATAAGATGGGGAAGAATATGAAATGTGGGGTTGTACCAAACTCCCAGAAGTAGAATTTACATTATGGCGGTTTAGGCTACTTCTGTCACTCCTAATAGCAATTGGTGTTCTCAAAACATTTTGTTGTGACTCAAGTTGTTTGATCTCTGCTTTACTTATAGCTTTAAGCAAATCCATTTTAATTCGAATTTGAACCAGTCTTGGGAGTTTTTTCATAGTTTTACTCATGCTTAAAAAATGTTTCTAGATCATCCAGTTCCTGCTTTTTATTTCTATTTTCTTGGAAGCTTTTCATCATATCCATCATATCAGCCAAGTAATTATCAGTACTGGGACTTGCCTTTCTTTTGTATAATGTATTCGACGTAGGAGTATTGGTTCAGGATGGTATGCTTTCAGGGGATGGTAGGCTTTCAGCGTATAGACTCTCCGGGGATAGAAGAAAATCGACACTAGGCAAACTATTAGATCAGAAGAAATTAAGTATACCGGAAGATCAACCTCTTATGGCAGGATCAGAATCATTACCGTATATTATAGTTGGTGATGAAGCATTTCCGCTTAAACATTATTTACTTAGACCTTATAGCAAAAATGCTTTGCTTAATAATGAATCCAATAAAATTTTCAATTATCGACTGTCCCGAGTCCGAAGAATTGTAGAAAACGCATTTAGGATATTAAGAACAAGATGGCGGGTATTTCAAGGGCTTCTTCAGGTACAACCAGAACTGGTAGACAAAGTAGTTCTAGCAGCATGCTGCCTTCATAACTATTTGGGCACAACTTTTGAGTTGCAAGATGAAGTATCTACAGAACCTACTACACAACGATCATTAAATACATTGGATGGTCTTAGAAGGAACCACACGCAATTACCTTACAGCATTAGAGAAAAGTTCAAACAATATTTTGTTTCACGCGGGGGTTCGATGCCGTGGCAATTAAATATGGTGAGAAGAGGAATGCAAATTACACGAAACGACAATGATTAGTTTCTAGGTACCTACTTGAAAATGATTATTTGCTAAATACCTACTTGAAAATAATAAGCGTTTAGTTAATGAAAGTTGTGTTTTATTTATCTGACTTTTAAACCCTAAAATAGAAGTTATAATTTAACAAATAAAATGCTGTACATTAACTTTTTGTTTAAACGCGCTAATCTCAAAACTACTGGTTCGAATTAAAAAAAATATTTTTATGTTGGATGGTCCATTTATCGAGGAAGGCTCCAAGCTACATTACGCTGCGTGCAACCAATAGGAACGGAGCAGTAGCGAAAAATGTTGCAAAAACGGGATAAACGCGTACGAAGTATTGTTTTAATACAAATATATACTACTACACATAAAAACATACATAAATACATAAAAGCCACGCCTGTTTGCCAGGGGGGTATGCACCACGGCATACAAAAATACAATAATAAGTAGGTACTTACCAGGCTTGCCATGCTGTTTTGATATTTCTTCTCGTGCTGTATTGCGTAAAATAGAATCGCGATATTCAATGCATTTAATATTATAAATAGCTTCATATCGCCTAACCAAATCAATGAGTTGTTCGTCTCCCATTTTAAAGAGAAGGTAGTAGGTATACCATAGACGTTCAATACGTCGAACGTTGCGTGGGACGCGTGTGACAGCATTGCGGATGACAAGTGTGTTTCTAGGCATACAAATTCTACCGTTTAGATTTAATAATGCGTTGCATACGTTGCGTACGTGGGATCAGTTTGTCCCTAGCATATATATATAGCAATACTCGTGTGTTCTCGTTGGCTATAAGCTAAACGTCACTATTTCTGGTGATCTTTTATAATAACCAAAGGTTTAAAATAACAAAAATAAAGTAAAATAAAAATAAAAGAAAATGTTCATGCTATTAAATGTTGATATATTTTAACGATAAAAACAAAACTAACACAATATAAATATTTTACTGTATTTTACTCCTTTTAAAACATACGTAGGTACTGAAAAATATAATAGGTACCTCTAGATAATATAAGTACATGTAAACATTCTGACGTTGTTTCTACATACGAGTCAGCTTCATGGATGCCATGCACGATCCAGTTCACCATCAAGTTTGCAGCACGCTTGAAGCGGTATCCGGTAAACTTGACGATGTATGGCTATCGGTGTTCATGACAAGTCTACTTGAAGCAAAGATTGAATTTCGATTCTGCCGACTTGATCAAGCTTGCAGCGTCATGTAAACTTGAACGTGTGTATGAGCGATCAAGTACGCATGTCGTTAGTCGGAGCAACAAACAAGAGATGCCATGATTTAAACTGGTCAACATCATGCAAACTTGACGCCGAACTTGAACGTGTGTGGTCTATATGGATGCACTGCACTGCTGGACGCCACTTTAAGCGCGCTGCAAACTTGACGGTAAACTAAATCGTTTATGACATCCATAATATCGACAAGTATAGTCTGTTCGCTTAGATGCGGTTGCCTTTATGTTGCGCCGAGTCGGCACGTGCCGCATCTTGTCCAAGGCGACATCAACGAAACACCGTAATGGAAGGTTGTTTTTGTTGACTATGCTACGTACATATACAGAAAATGATTTGTCGTCCTTGGGAAGACAATAAAGTGGCTCAAGATGAAATTTTGAGCGAGTCAATAACAAAAATACTATTTTAGTATGGATTCAAAACACGATGACTTTGGATGCCTTATTATAAATACAGGCGGCCATGACTCCGAAACTTCGAGTGATGAAGTACCTTTAAAATTGAATGAAACTGAATTTAAATTCTCTTTCCTACCTAACTTGTGTTTAATATTTATATACGTATTGTATTACAATAATTATAAGAAAAAATAGTATTCTATTTTATTCTTAGATAGAAAAACATTTATTTAACAAACACGTTAAAATTAATTAAATAAAAGCAAATGAATAAGTGCGCCTCCAGGTGTACCGCATTATCTTAGTAAACATACTTATATATATATATATATATATATATATATATATATATATATATATATATATCTAATACATGTATACATGCCTCAGTCTATAAACGTTCAAATGGTGGGCACATGTTTTTTTTTTTAAATATTGTATAGATATACTTTTATGCAAGCTCACCATTTGTAAAGCACGTATTTTTAAAAACTTTGTTATTCTATAAAATAACCTTTATTATTATGCTTATAATAATATGGTAAATACCAGATAGAGTTTTAGTTATATTTTATCTTTGCAGAACATTAAAAAAACATATTATCAATGAAGAACTATCTGTTCTATTGTGTTATCCTTCCTTTTCCCAACAGATAAGTCTATAGGTTCATCACAATGCACAGGGTAATGTCCCCTGTCTCCAATTACTTTCACAAACTCGTCGGGGCTGCATTTGGGCTGATTGCTTCGGTTGTGGCATATCATGCCATACAGCGGCACGGGTATGGCAACACTGCCCACATCGCTAAGATCCGTTTTAAGAGTGTGGGCATTATTCCATTTGGACGCGTTCCGGGAGTGCATTCTAGAACAAAATTTTGCAGAGTTTTTGTTTATATTATTAATAAGCATTGAGTATAAAGTTTGAACAAAGGATTTACACTTAGTAATTAATTGCAACAAAGCACGATCCTGAGCCCCCTGCATCTATCGACCCCCTGCAGGTATATACACCTCGTCATTAGCCGCGTACACACCTAGCGCACGGGGTCACCGTGTCGAGAGTGAAGGCGCCTCTGTAGTTTTGTTTGGAACTCAGAGGCATGCCTCGCGAGTCTGGCCGAGCTATCATAATTCATAGGTCGCCGAGCATCCGAAATGGACAGTTGTGTAATTGCAGCTGCAGCTATTTTCTAAACTTATTGTTAAAAAAACGAAAACAGTCACGTTTTAAGAAAATACCTAGACGCTTCTGGTTTAGAAAATTTATGAGTGTCGCAACCAATATGGAACTAAATTACTTAAAGATTTAACATTTAATCAGATTGTGCATTCATTGAATTAAACGAATAATATTTTATTTCTACAGTCTAAACGAATAATAATTATTTCAACAGTGGTAGAGCCACGCGGCAGCTTTGCTTTACCACGACCTCACAGAATACCGGCGTGAAGTGGAAGCTCTGCTTCCGCGTTTCGTCTGGTGAGTGTAGGTGGCCGGAGGCCCAAATCCCCCACCCCCCAGCAACATGGTAGCGGCATTAAATGATAGACTACCCCAGGAGGGTACCAGCACCCCTGGAGAATCCCTCGCTGAGCATCCACGACCATGTTTCTCCACTTCTGAGCGTGGGTGCTCAGGCTGCCCCGCGTATTCTTGGGGGGGGGGGGCAAAATTCCGCTCAAGACTAAAACTGCTCGGGGCAAACGGAACAACAAGACCAAGGCGACCCCTGCCACGCTGTCCGTGAATTTCTGCAATATCAGGGGACTTCACTCTAACCTAAACGCCGTCCACTACCATCTCGAGACGGCGAGGCCGGTTCTGCTCTTTCTGACCGAGACGCAGGTGTCCTCTCCGGCTGATGTCTCGTATCTCTCCTGCCCGGGTTACAAACTGGAACACTCCTTTGTGCCTCGGGCTGGAGTTTGCGTTTACGCGGTAATGCCGAAACAGACCGACTCTTCGACCACGTCCAAATGGCTGCAGATTCGTTGCTACAGCAGATCCCCTCCGCAGAGATCGTGATCCTCGGCGACTTTAACGCCCATCACGCCGAATGGCTCGGTTCACGTTTAACCGATCATGCGGGGAGATCTGTTCATGATTTTGCCTTGGCATATGGTCTGACACAACTGGTTACTTCGCCTACGCGGATTCCAGATGTGGAGGATCATGCACTTTCCCTGTTGGACCTTCTGCTGACCTCTCACCCGGACGGATATCAGATTTCCGTCGACGCCCCTTTAGGCTCCTCGGATCATTGTCTTGTCCGGAGTGTGGTGCCACTCACGCTGAAATCGCGGTTGCATTCTGCAGGCTGCCGCCGTGTTTGGCACTATAGGTCAGCCGATTGGGATGGGATGCGGTCTTTCTTTGCATCCTACCCTTGGGGGCGGGTTTGCTTCTCGCCGGACGATCCCAACGTTGTTGCGGATTCTGTCGCTGATGCGGTACTTCAGGGTATGGAACTTTTTATTCCTTCCTCTGTGGTGCCCATTGGAGGTAAATCTCAGCCATGGTTTTGTCGCTCCTGTAAAATAGCATCATGCTACAAGCAGGAGTGCTACCGAGCCTGGGCTGACGCATCAGCGTCCAGGGATGTAAACACCAGCGCTCTAAAAAAAGAAGTATAATTCCGTCTCTAGGTCCTTCAAAAGAGTCATTGCCAAGGCAAAGTCAGAGCACATAGGCAGAATTGGCGAGAGACTAGTTCGTCTTCCTTCTGGAACCCGTGCATTCTGGTCTCTCGCCAAGGCTGTCCAGGGGAATTTCTGTCAGCCATCTCTTCCATCTCTGCACAGGGAGGACGACTCACTGGCCCACACAGCAAAGGAGAAAGCCGATCTTCTAGGCTCTTTCTTTGCGTCTAACTCGACTCTCGATGACGGGGGTAGTACGCCGCAACCATCCCGCGGTGTGAGTGCTCCATGCCGGAAGTGCAGTTCACTCAGCGCTCGGTTCGCAAAGCACTCCTCTCCCTGGACATCCACAAGTCGAGTGGGCCTGACGGAATCCCCCCAATTGTGCTGAGGACGTGTGCTCCAGAGTTGGCACCAGTTTTAACGCGTCTTTTCCGGTACTCCTACTCCCTAGGCGTAGTCCCAAAATCATGGAAGACGGCTTTCGTCCACCCGATCCCTAAAAAAGGCGACCGCTCAGACCCGTCCAACTACCGGCCTATCGCCATCACCTCCTTGTTCTCCAAAACAATGGAGTCCATTATAAACTGCCAGCTCATGAGGTACCTTGAGGATCACCAGCTGATTAGTGACCGCCAATACGGTTTTCGCCGTGGTAGGTCAGCTGGTGATCTTCTGGTCTACCTAACTCACAGATGGGCGGAGGCAGTAGAGTCCAAGGGGGAGGCATTGGCCGTTAGTTTGGACATTGCGAAGGCCTTCGATCGGGTTTGGCACAAAGCGCTTCTTTCGAAGCTCCCTTCCTATGGGCTTCCCGAGAAATTGTGCGATTGGATTACCAGTTTTCTTGCAGATCGGAGCATCAAGGTCGTTGTAGACGGTGCAAGCTCCGATTGCAAGCCTATTAATGCTGGTGTTCCACAGGGCTGCGTGCTATCGCCAACGCTGTTTCTTCTGCATATCAATGATATGTTGCAAACCCGTAGCATTCATTGCTATGCAGACGACAGCACTGGTGATGCTCTTTACACCGGCCGAGCCAATATTTCTCGGGAAAACGTCTCTGAGTGCCGGGATAAACTTGTGTCTGAAGTCGAGTCTCTGCTGGACAGAGTCTCGGATTGGGGGCGACTAAATCTAGTCCAGTTTAACCCCCAGAAGACACAAGTTTCTCAAGGCACTCCCCTTGTTGCCTCAGCCAGTATCGGAATCCTCGGCGTCGACATATCGAGTGACGTGCAGTTTCGTGGTCACTTGGAAGGGAAGGCCAAATTGGCCTCTAAAAAGCTTGGCATGCTCAGCAGAGCGGGACAGTATTTCATGCCGGCACACCGCCTGCAACTTTACAAGGCGCAGGTTCGGCCGCTCATAGAATACTGTTCCCATCTCTGGGCTGGGGCTCCCCAGTACCAGCTCCTTCCACTCGGCCGCATCCAGCGCAGAGCGGCTCGAATCGTCGACGACCGAGTGCTTTCCGGTCGGCTCGATTCACTGGCGCTGCGAAGAGATGTTGCATCTCTTTGCGTATTTTATCGCATCTATCACGGGGAGTGCTCTGAGGAATTGTTCGGATTAATCCCAGCCGCCAAATTTCATGAACGCACTACACGGCAAACGTCCCGATACCATCCACACCATCTGGATGCTTGGCGGTCCACCACTGTACGTTTCAAAAGGAGTTTTCTTCCGCGTACAACCTCTCTGTGGAATAATTTACCACCGGCGATTTTTCCGGACCGATACGACCTGGGGACCTTCAAGAAAAGAGCTTACTCCTTTCTAAAGGGCCGGCAACGCACCTGCAATTCCCCTGGTGTTGCGGTTGATCATGGGCGGCGGTAGTCACTTAACATCAGGTGAGCCACATGCTCGTTTGCCCCCTCTTCTATAAAAAAAAATATTAAAGTGACTCTGTAGTAAAACTAAAACAAACACTATAGTATCGCCTCGCGACCAAAAATACCACTGTACACATCAAACGAACAGCGATCACCGAGGCACCTTTAAGCGCGTCTAGTTTACCGACAACGTATGGCTCGCGGTCGAGCGGCGCTCGGCCGTGGCAAAGTGCGCCCAAGGCAGCCCTAGGCACGTCCATACCAGCCGAGCCATTTAGTTCGCTTGATGCTAGCTAGGTTGCCGCGCGAGCGCGAGCCCGTTCGGTGCGTACACACTATTCGATCTATAGTTAATATTCTTCCGGTCTCCAGATGTCGCTAGTTGACACTGAGGTTAAGTTTTTTGTTTCTCAATGTCATTTAATGTATATAATGTATATAATAAGGGTGACAAACGAGCACACAGTCTACCTGATGTTAAGTGGTTAATGTTACCCATAGACATCTACATATAGATATAGATGTCGGGGATTGCCTCGATTACGAATCATCATAATGCAAATGCGTTGTCACCCTTGAGGACCATGATGGAATGCCTCGTTTCCAGCAAAAAAGGTCTCCGGTTCTCTATATTAAGTAGGTAAAAAGTGATTTTAAATAAAAATGTTTCAACTTAGACTTACTTATACTTGCGGCAGGCGTCTTTGCGGTGACGTTCCAAGTAGCGGCGCTGGCTGAAAGCTTTGCCGCACTCCGAACACCGCCACTGCCAAGAGTGGTGACCGCGAGTACGCTGATGGGCGCGGAGGTTAGACCTGACGAATTAAATAATTCTATAAAAATTCATTAATGGATATCCTCAAGCCTAATTTTTTTATAGGATAGGGTGACAAACGAGCACACAGTCCACCTGATGGTAAGTGGTTGCTGTGGCACATAGACATCTACATCTATCCTCGATTACGAATCAAAATGCAGATGCGTTGTCACCCGTGAGGACTAAGATGGAATGCCTCCTTTCCAATAAAAAGGGTCTCCGGTTCTCTACACTCACCATACGAAACACAACAGCTTTCAGCTACTATTTTACGCTGGTGTTCTGTGAGAGCGTGGTCCTTCCCCGGTCGAGCCGAGCCATTCGTGCTACAACTATACTTCGAATATAACTGCAGCACGTCTCTACCACTTATAAAATTTAAACTAATTTAGGTCACGGCGGCCTTACGAGTACAAAGACTAACGCTTACACAGCACACTATATTTTCAACGAGGGTGAAATACCGCCGTCTTCCTGACTCTTCTGCCAACTTCACATTAGCAGCGGACTACTTCTCGATACAAAAACCCAATAACCGATTTTGGTGCGATTCTAGATTCGAAACCAGGATCAAATGATCAGCACTTGCGCTTACGGCCACTAGACCAATTGTATAGTCAATGAAAACTTTCTCGTAGCGCCTCAGAGGTGTGCGGTCACCGTCCGTGAATACTAACGGGTCATTGGGTTGTATCCAATACAGTAGCTCAATTTAAAGTATCTCAAAATACTTAGATATAGTCACAGGGCAGGATTGATCTAGAGACAAAGTTGGCAACTGTTTATTAGCACCGCGTAAGCGACGCACTTTACTGACATTGACATTGACAAAATATACATTTAAAAGTAAATAAGAACATAAAAACACACAAGGTACGAGTACGAGATGGTAAACATAATTAAAAATAAGTCTCGGCAAGAGTGAGTGATGTGATGCCAAAAAGGATTCCGTCTCAGCATATGCTATCACAGGTACTACTTAGAGTACTAGATACGATATTGCGCCCGCGTCGTTATCGGTGCTAACATTCCATTTAAAAAAATGAATCAACCATTCACTCAAATTATAAATTTTTAAGAATAAACATAAGTGTAAAAAATACATATACATACGAGTACATAAACACATGTTACATTTTACATTGTACTATTACACATTAATTATCCATATATATTTGTTAAATGGTACTTATGGAATAACCTGTCACTACAAGTAAAAGCATTATTTTTGAAATGCTAAAAGGTGTTTTTTTAGTTGAGCTTAAAACCGTTTACAGATTTAGTTTCCCGTAAAAGTGGTGGTAAATTATTCCAACATTTAGTGGCCATGCTGCCCCGAAACGCGGCTGTTCGGTGATATGGGATTGCCAGAATTGGTGTTCTCGTTTTGATGCTTCAACAATCATCTGCTCTTCTCCATTTTAATTTTTGAAAGAGGTATGTGGTCGTTCTAATTTTATGATATTATAGAACACTGCATTTATATATAATATTTAACACAAATATATTTAATTTTGCTACGTCGAGCAGTAGCAGCGTAACAGCGTAATTCATGTTCTACCACATGTCATCCCGGATATCCTAAGACGTTAGAGAAGGAAACTGAAGCAATAAACAGGCAGCTTATTCCAGATAAGCACGCATTTATAATTTAAAAGCCCAGAGTTACCAACATGCCTGCCAGGCGTGATAGCTATGGTAAGTCAGCCCTCCCCCATGCATTGCCTCAAAGGAGGGAGCGCCTTTGAAGCAGTTCAAAGGAGAGGCCTATGTTAAGCAGTGGACTTTTGACGGTTGCAATGAATGGATATTTTTTTATAGGATAGGATGACAAACGAGCGCACAGTCCACCTGATGGTAAGTGGTTGCTGTGGCCCATACACATCTACATCTGTCCTCAAATACGAATCAAAATGCAGATGCGTTGTCACCCGTGAGGACGTCACGACGTGAGGCCTCGTTTCCAGCAAAATGTGTCTCCGGTTCTCTACTCTCACCATACGAAATACAGTAGCGTTAAGCTGCTATTTTACGCTGGTATTCTGCGAGAACGTGGTCTTTCCCCGGTCGAATCGACCCATACGTGCTACAGCTATATACTACCATGACTGCCTCGTTGGTCTAGTGGTTGTAGTAGTGCGACTGCTGATCATGAGGTCCTGGGTTCGAATCCCGGGTCGGGCCAAAAAATCAATTATTGAGTTTTTCCGTCAAAAAATTCTCAGTAGCTGCCCGGAGTCAGGAAGTTGGCGGTGTCTCACCCCTATGCCTTGGAAAAAACGTAAAGCCGTTGGTCCTGCGCCTGATCTCTCTCCCGGTCGTGTCTGTTTACCGACCAATCGGATTACGAGAGTGAGGGAATAGAGAGTACATCTGTGCTTGCGTATACACTTGGGCACTATAATCCTGTCCTGCTCCGATGGCTAGTCTCCGTTGAGGCATGTCGCCGTGGCCGAAATTCGGTCTGGAGGACATTATTATTATTATTATTATACCTACCATTAATAAAGCTGCAGCATGGTCCTAACACATATAAAATTAATTTCCTCTCAGTCAATCAAACCGGAACATAACAGTTAATGTATGACAGATTAACGATAGGATATATAGTAGGACATGGTTAAAGAGCCTATCCGTTAACACTACATCCAAGTAATGTACTGAATCTGAACGCCTATCTAAGTCCAACGTGGTACGTGTTAGAGCAATCTCGCCTTACGAATGGATTGATCAACTTTATTTGCAGATTATGGGCTGGCACGATAGATTGAATCATAACCGCAATATTTGCCATAGTTACCACGTTCGGCAACTGCAGTTCTTATTGTTTTGAGTTGTTATCAGTGCTAGGGGATGAAAGGGGTAGTGGATTATTTTACATTGCCACTACACGGTAAATATAATTTTAAATTAATAATCACATAACTTTAAACTAATAAAAGCAGTAGGACAGTCTGTTTGTAAACGTGGTAGTGTCACCACGCTCTAAAAGAATACCAGCTTAATACAGCTATGTTTCGTATGGTGAGTGTAGAGAATCAGAGACCCTTTTTACTGAAAACGAGGTAATCCATCCTAATCTTCAGGGGTGACAACGCATCTGCATTTTGATTCTTAATCGTGAATAAATGTAGATGTCTATGCAAATAGCATCAACTTACCATCAGGTGGACTGTGTGCTCGTTTGTCACCCTTATTTTATATTTAAAAAAAACTTTTATTATTTCTGTTCACAGCTCAAATGCACTCTATATATCTTCACGCTCATTGTCCGATGGGACGGTAATCCGACACGAGTGAAGAAAGATCAGGAGCTTTTATGTGATTTCCGAGGCACGTGGGTGAAACACCGACAACTTCCTGACCTTCCTGGCTTGTCCGACCCGGAATAAAATCCAGAACCCAATGATCAACAGTAACGTTTACAATGACTAGATCAACGCAGCATTAAACTTTTCGATCAAGTCTTTTGTAATACTTTGTTACTGTTTGCGTACAAAGTATCTAATGCAATTCGAAAGCTTCCATCAAGGCGTACAAAGTTTTACGTCATATTTTTATAGCTTAAGGTTCAAACTATTAAAGTGCATTTAGTTTACAACTCCTGGTTTTACTATGTCCCTATGCAAGTTTACGTGTTATAAACATTCACATAAATTACAGGTATGTCCGCCGCGAAGTCGTAAATAATATTTTTTTACAAATGTAATTTTATTACCTGGGGAAACTACTTATAACAGTAAAATAACTAGATTTCATATAAGGTTTATACACATACAAAGCCTATACTTTGACAGAAGGGAACACCTGCGTATGGCCCGTCTTATTTTATAGTGTTTTATAATATGTTAACGTGCAGTGGAAATCAGATATGAAAGTTGAAAATGAAATGCATCTTGCTTAATATACGAACTTAAATATTTAATGAATTAGGTACGTTAAAGACATCTCTAATTTACAGTGTAGTAACTCAGTGCCATAGTACTTGGCTTCAGCGTCGCGGGGCCGCAGCTTCGACTTCCGCACGGTACAACAGTGTTTCACACTAGTGTGAAAGCATCTAGGTGATGAATATGTGGCACAATTTGGATCTTAGATGACGTGGAACTATAAAATAGCTACAGAACTACTAGGTGTTAGTACTACCCCTTCAGTTTAGGAATATGTCTGGTTGTGCATTTACTGCCATGTTCCGGTCTGAAGTATATAAGGGAGTCAGTATAATCACAGGCTGTGAGGAATTCCATCTTAATACCCAAAGGCGAGAACGCATTTATTGCCTATTTGGAATCTGTTGCGGATAACCATGTATTATGTTTTTTCTTTTAAAAATAGAATAAGGATGATAAACGAGCACGCAGTCCACCTTATGGTAAGTGGATGCTGTAGCCCATAGACATCTAAATTTATATTCGATTAAGAATCAAAACGCAGATGCGTTGTCACTCCTGAGGACTAAGATGGAATGCCTCGTTCCAGTAAAAAAGGGTCTCCGGATCTCTACACTCATCATACGAAACACAACAGTATTATGCTGCTATTTTAGGCTGATATTCTGTGAGAGCGTGGTCCTTCCCCGGTCGAGCTGACTCATTCGTGCTACAACCATAATATAGCTGCAGTGTGGCTCTACCACGTAAAACAACACTAACTCTATACAGTACAGTTATAGGTGTCTATGGTATTCAGTAGTCATTTACCATCATATATGGTTAACGCTCGCTGTAAATATAACAGAACGCGAGTAACCCAGGTTCGATCCCCGCTGGCACCAATGAAATTGTTAATTGCAATTTAAGTGGTGGTGGTAATTTAAGTGATTTAGAACACGTGTCGGCGGTGAAGGAAAACATCGTGAGGAAGCCTGCATGTCTGAGGAATAAGAAAAAAAATATTTCGAAGACATGTGAAGTTCGCTAACACGCATTGGGGCAGCGCGGCGGACACTTCCTTGCCCTAAAAACCCTCTCAGAAATGAGGGGAGGCCGGTGCCCAGCAGTGGGATGTATATAGGCTGTAACTTTTTACCATCATATTAGACTGTAAGTGCGTTTGTCGCTTTAATTTTATTAAAAGAAAAAAAAACTAATCTCAACCAACCTGTCGGAAAATGTCCTGCCGCAGCTTGGATATGGGCATGGGAAGGGTCTCTCGCCCGTGTGCAAGCGCAGGTGACCTTTCAACACCCAGGGTCGATCGAAGCCTTTACCGCAGTATGAGCAAGTGTGACTTATCCGTTCACGTCTTTCGGTCCATTTGACGAGCTCCGGTTGGGTCGGTAGTCCGTGTTCGATTACTTTGTAAACATAATTATAACGCTTTACTACGCTTTCAATTCTGAGCTAAGTTCAGAGTTTTAGCCTTTAAGCTCACTTTAACTTTAAGTCGATCACAGAATTTGTAACAAAAAAACAGACAAGAAAGTACTGACTTATATTTATGTTTTCAAAACTCTACATCATTGTGAAGTTAGTTTAAAACGTCTGCCGTAAGCAGGGTGGTTATACTGAGTCTGAAGTCATAATATTTTTCTAGCATTTAACATCGCCTCTTACGACACCCACGCTATGAATTGGGATGATGGAATCAAGCGTTATTGATGATGATGAAGAAACGCTTGTTTACCTTACCTTGTTCAGCAATAACAAACCCTAATTTAAACTACAAGTTATGCAGTCTGGAAGTAGCTGTAGCATCATAACAACCTGCTTATTCCAAACCTTCCTCACTAGATATTGATATTAGATTACTCATAATTTAATATAATATAATTTTCGAAAACGTTCGAACGTCAAACGCTGTCAAAGTCAAAGTTCTAAAATGTTATATAAATATTTTATCAAATTAATATAAAAATATAATTGTGGGTTAATTTAGTCGATTTACTAACATTTTAAATATGCAGATTTTGTAAAATATTTTTGCGTTGTAAATGTGTTTGTTTTAATAATGACAAGTAAAACTGTTAAGTGCTCGAACTGTAACATCCTTATTAATGAAGTTTTAGCTTTTATTCAAAACAAAGCGGATGTTATGGACGAGGAGAGCTTATCTGCTATATGCCGAAGCTCGTTCTCTGAGGATGAATTATTATATGCGAAAAAGTTATTGTTCGACTCCGGTGCAAGTAAGACCCAGAAAAATACGACATGAAAAGGAGCTGGCAAATCAAAGCGTGACATAGATGACATCATCGGTTTTATTAAGCAGGTGGATCCAGAAAAGGTTCCAGTTTTTGTGGCTCGTGAACTTCATAAGTTACCACCGATTTCTTTCGATCATATCGACGTGACAAACTTACTGAAGAAGCTATTAATTTTAGAAAATGATTTGTTAAAAATTAAAGAAAATTACATTGATATAAAGCAGTATAATGAACTGAAACGAGAGGTTGCAGATATGAAAAATACATCCATTGTTAATAATTTTGAATACACCAACATTAACACGAAACGGAATGCCTATTTATTAGATTCACACTGTGATAATGGTACCATTGGCTTACCACACATTACATTATCCCTCGAAAATAGCGTCGAGTTAGATTTGTGCGATATTAACAGTCAGCTAAGTCAGGTACCTCAACAACAAAGCTCACTTACTCCACCTCAAGAGCAAAGCGGACACGTGGAGGCTAATACTGCGGTTTCGCACACTCCTACTATTGCGCGTCACCTGATGCCCGCCAGCAGCAACGCCGGCACAGCAGATAGCAGCCAGACAGCAGCACGACGGTTTCGAACCTAGTGACGTATGTTAATGAGCCCGCTAGGGACCCGATCACTTTGACATCTACTAATGTAAACAAGCGATCTTATGTTGATACGGTTAAAGAAAGTGAACGGAAGATATTAAAACCAGACGAGAAATGGACACTTGTGCAAAGAAGAAGATTGAAGAATAGGTTTATAGGGATGAAAGGAAAAGCAAGTACAGAGACTACATATAATTTTAAAGCAGCCGACATTCAGATCCCATTATTTATCAATAATGTTGACAAAGAAACATCGCAAAAAAAACAAAGAAGATAAAGAGATTTAAATGAAGTATAGCCTTTTAAGTATGCCAAGATATAAAATTGATATATTTCTTTATATATATATATTGATATATTTGCAGACAGCAGCTTTTAGAATACACTAAAACAAGCTAAAACAGGAGATTCGTCAGACAAAAACAATTACAGACCTATCTCCCTGGCTACTACTATAGCGAAAGTGATGGACGGTCTGCTTGCGAGGAAGTTACAGGCATCCATTAATCTGCGTGACGCACAATTTGGTTTTAGACCGCAGTTATCCACAGAAAGTGTTGTACTTTGTCTCAAGCACACCGTACTTTACTACACAAATGCTGTTTTTTGGACCTATCAAAGGCCTTTGATACGGTTAAATACGATATACTTTGGAAGAAGCTGGCTACTGAAACTAATGACTTTCCAAATGACTTAATAGCTTTTCCAGGTACGACAATCAACAGAATCAGGTGAGGTGGGCAGGCGTGCAATCTGAGGCGTATGGGCTGGAGTGCGGAGTAAGATAGGGCGGACTATCTTCTCCTGCACTTTTTAACCTCTACGTGAACAGTCTGATTGGCGAACTCGGTGGTAGTGGAGTCGGCTGCTCTAATGATAATATTGCATATAACAACATAAGTTACGCCGACGATATGGTGCTGCTGAGCCCATCAATTAGTGGTCTAAGAAAACTACTCAGTATCTGTGAGAAGTATGCAACGGCTCATGGCCTACGATATAATGTCAAGAAAAGTGAGATCGTATTTTTTAAATCAAAATATAAGAGCTATAATTTTCCCACTGTCGCTCTTGAAGGTGTACCACTGAAAAGAGTTTCAAATACCTGGGACGCTGGGTTACTGAAAATATGTCGGATGATATTGACATAGAGAGGGAACGCAGGACTCTAGCTATGAGAGCGAATATGCTCGCCCGTAGATTTGCAGGGTGTAATATAGAAGTTAAAAAAACTCTATTCAGAGCCTATTGTCAGTCCTTTTACACCTGCAGTCTATGGGTTGAGTATACACGGAGGACGTTCACAACCCTGCGCGTCCAATATAATAACGGCTTCAGGATGCTGATGGGGCTGCCTCGGTACTGCAGCGCGTCGGGAATGTTTGCTGAGGCTCGCATAGACAGTTTCCCAGCTATCGCGATGCGAAAACGGGTTGCCTCCGCATGGCGCCGTGTCCGGGATAGCTCCAACAGCCTCCTGGCGGTGATAGGGATTCGCTATTGCTGTCCTATTTTGAGGCACTGGAACAGCGTCCATATCGGCTCGAGACCTGTTCTGGTAAATATAAAGTAGATAGTACGTAACCTTTTAAATTTTATTTATTTACCAACCCTAGCTTACAAGTTCTTTTTGTAATTACTAACCCACTCTATGGAAAGAAATTTCTGAAATAAAGAATAATAATAAACACGATATGTTGATCACGAATTGTGCCGATTAAGATTTTGATATTAGATTACTGAAAACATGTTATAAAGTTTAATGATACGGAAGACGCTGACTTCGTTCTAAAATTGTTATCGCCGGTCAAACCAAAGTGTCTACTTTCAGTCAACAGACTTGTTTTGATCATGCTATATAAGTTGTTGCATTTAGAATAAGATTCATTATAGTATTCATCGAAGTAATGTAATCACCTACTTTTTTAGTGTTGTAATTCATTATTGTAATGAAATAGTAATAAATGTCAACGAGACATATTTGTAGTTTTTAAAATGCTTCAGCACCGTTCCCGAAACTTAACTATATTAGGGTTTTGTTATTGCTATTAGTCCTAACCCTTTCCCATTTTTTTAATAACTTTAATAAAACCAATAGGAAATAGGTGCAGTTTGTGCAAAATAAACAGAATTGAATTGAGTGAGTTCTAACACTCAATTTTATAAACAAAGCTAGACGTTAGCCCGCAGACGTGGTTCCGTCCTTTTCGGCAGGTGCAATGAGATTACGAATTTACACAAAATTGACGGTATAAATATAGAATGTAATAATAACTAGATTGTATTGTACATTTACTGTACACAAAATATATAGTTATTTAAGTTCTGCAATTAACTTTTTTGTTACATCCGCATCACCCCAAGGTAGACTGGTAGATATTGATTCTGGCATTAAATTGTATACACACACACACACACAAAACGCACGCACACACACATATATACACACATACATATATATATATATATATATATATATATATATATATATATATATTACGTTTTATTTAAGGGGCTAATGACCACTGTAAATTTTGTGCATGTAATATGTTTATCAATAAAGACTATAAAAGACTATTAACTGATGATAAGTGAATGCTGTGGCCCAATAGACATCTACAGCTGAAGATTACGAAAAATACAGTTACGAACAATATGCGTTGTCACCACTGAGGACTAAGATGGAATGCTCTGTTACCATTAAAACAGGTCTCTGGGTCTCTACATTATTACATTATACAAAACTTAGCATCCCTAACCATTACAGCCTGTCAAATTTCCACGGCTGACCATAGGCCTCCCGCATAAATTGCCCCATAGGGAGAATTATTGCCATATCTACCACGCTTAGCAAACAGGTTGGCAACCGCACCCTTTTTTATACAGCTGTAATCAGGAATATGCTGCTGCCCATCTCATGGCTGTTTTCCTTCTGTCGCCTCAGGAAACACAGTATTATTGAGCAGTTATTTCTAGTGGTATTCTGTAAGAGCGTGATCTCCGACCGAGACCCATTCGTGCTACAACGTGTTGCTCTATTATGAATAGCTCGTAAGCTGCAGAGGCTTGCAACGATGACGAGAAATGCTACAAAGCTTGGTCCTATAATATAATCACTGTGCGCCTATAATAACTTACCTTTATGCTTATCATTTATTTCCACTTCAACATTTTCTTTAAAATCACAAGCTGTTTCCAAACTCTTCTCATCAAACGACTCCTTGCAATACAAAAGTTCCTTGTTCAGGTTTTCTTCAGCGTTTGTTTTCACTAAATTTTTCAGCTTCTCTGCAATTTTATCAATCTCCGTGCCACCTCGGTTCGAGCTTTTCAAAAATTCCCTGTTCTTAATTTCTTCAATGATTGGCGCCAAAGGTTCATTTTTCAGTTTTCTCCTGCTGCCTTCTTCAGAGATTTTCGGCTCGGGCGGCGCATTATTACAAATTTGCGTTCCATTATAGGCGGGTGATCTTTTTATTTTTCTTTGCGCGCGTGTTCTCTCCGTAAATACTTTGCGTTCCGTTTTAGCCTCGCTGGAACGTAAGTTATAGGTGGATTTATCAGAATCTTTTTTATGCTGAAATGTGTTTTTCTTTATTTCCGGGGAATTGATTGCTTTTTCGCTTTCCGACGCGTAATCGTACATTTCCGTATCGATGAATGTTTGAAGAAATTGACTCTTTTTAAGGAGTTGGAGGTAAAATCGAGTAGAAATCGGTACCTTGTCGTGATAGATTGTTTCATTATTTTTCAACAGTGTCTTTTGTTTCTTGAGTATAAACTTCGGTGTTCGCCCTGGTTTAAATTCATCTGTAAAAAGGAACATCTTATTCATGCATCATTCATCTCAGCCTGTTAAAATCCCATATTCCTAAAAGACCTCAGCCACTGCCGTATATTGCCTCAAATAATTTGCTATAGTTGCCACCCTTGACACGCGCTACGGTTGGCAGATGCAGCCTTATATTATTTTTAATTTTTATAATTAAAAAATACAATAGAAAATTGTTTTATTTTCTATAAAGATCATACATTACAAAGGCATGAGAGTTAATGAGTCATCCCTTTATGTATATAAACAAATACTTGTGGCAGGATGCCCCGCTCTTAACGAATAAAGAACACATAACATAAAAAAGGAAACTGAGCTTATATTTATCCGATGAGGATTGTGTATACGTGCGTGAGTTGGTATATGTGTTTAAACGTATTTATGTGAAATTTATTTAATTACTTATAAGCTTATAACAATGCCTCGATCCTCTCAGCTCTCTTTCATTCATTCTTAAGTTTGAAGAGCCATTCTGTGCCTGTTATTTTGAGCTCATTGAAGCTTAGTGAAAAATGTTTAATTTATTGTCGACTTCCTTGTATAAATAACCAGCTTATCTTTCATATTCATATTTATGACTACCAAAGTTTGTCTCATTTTTTTATAAAGATGATGCTACTGTCCTTTTCTGTTTTTTATTTCCCTCTATCACCTCTTACGGCACTTCGCAGTACCAACCTATATAAATCTTAGGCATACATTACACGCTCACGCTGCGTTCATTACGCGCTCATGCAGGCGTCTGTCACTGCATTACACGGTAGGTTATTCGTCAAACACAACCGTGATTGTTGTAAAACTGACAGCCTGCATGAGCGTGTAATGTACGCCTTACATCTTATCTTACTTACTTATCTCTACAACTTTTATAAATCGGAAATTTTGTGGGTGTTAATTATTCTAAGCTATTTAACTAAGACAATAATTGAGCTTTTATTATTTTTATATTCATTATGTGCCCTTTCTAAACATTTAGAGGATGCTAGTTTATCCACAAACAAGCTTTTAGTGGAACAACGTTGAAAATGTGGATATGAGGAGGCAAGTATGGACAAGTATTCACGCAACACATGTATACCTGGTAACATGGTAGAGCTATGCTGCACCTATATTATAGTTGCAGCACGAACGGATCGGCTCGATTGGGAAGGACCACTATTAGAACCCATCAAAAGTCCACAGCTGGACATACGCCTCCCCCACAGATGCCTCACTTATGGATAGTGAATTTGTCTCTAGGGCGTTTTTGATACAGTTTAGATTTTACGGGTTTTATCGCATATAACTTATTTTACGGTACTATGGTCACCCATGATTATTAGTGCTATAAAGTGCTCGAAACGTCGAATATAAAATGGGTGCGTTTGGCAGGAAAAAGCGCTAGCAAGCGCTTATAAGCGCTGAAATAGTTTTCGGCCAGGACACGATTGCTACTTCAGTAGCCTGACACAATCCGCCATTTTGCTTATTTAATTTGTTTGTTTTGAAGTAGAGTTTTATAAGTTGTTTTGTGCCATATTAGTTTTAAGTAATATAATGACATGAATAAACATATACATGTTATTAAAAATTCATCATTGGTAAGTTTTTAATATGAATACTTTACAAACATATATTTAAATTAGGTTAGGTTCCCCGGTTAAAACTAAAATCGTGTCCTGGAGGAAAATAGCTACGTACGATTTGACAACGCTTAGCGCTTACGATCGCCATTTTGCTTACAAGCGCTTGCTAGCGCTTTTTTCTGCCAAACGCACCCATTAAGAGGTGAGAGTAAGTCAGCTCAAATTCTAATTTCGCCCCCACTTCCCCGCGCGTCGTATGCTATGTACCGACATGTTTGTAATCACTAATACTCTAAGTAGATAGGTCGTTAGATACTTATTTCATTATGTTTATCATATATATGCCTGTTTCTTAACGCCAACCCAGTCGCTTCTTATTTTTATAACGGTTATTTCCCATTTTAATTTTACGTCTTCCTGTTGCGTAATGTGTTTTCTGATCGTAAGCGACACAACTTCTCCCTTCAAAAGCCGGAGCAATACTAACGGAGCGACAGGAACCAAGCTTACGCGCCGATAGTTTAGGTAATTTCTTTTTACAGTGAAAATAATGATATTTTAAAAAAAGTAAATAACATAAGCACTGCTTTATGGTTTGTTCAGTTAGTATGCAAAGTTTCATGATCTTATTTAAAGTATTTTATGAATAACAGCGGTTTATTGTTCAGTTTGGAGGTAACTTTGGATTTTTTTTCTATCGAGAAAATTTTACGGAATCGTGTTTTCGTCTAACATAAACCTTAACATTAATCCTCAACTTTATCATATATTTATTTCAAAATTAATGCTGCAATACTTTCGGCATAACGGAGGATCTTGCTAAGCCATTTGAGGTTATATTTCCCCCTTAAGTTAATATACGCGATATAATCCGTAAAAACTAGTTTTATTTAAATTATTATCATTTGCTATAGTTGCCATGCTTGGCAAAAAGTTGCCCACCACCGATTTTTATTGTTATTCTGCTGTAAACTGTAATCAAGAAGATACTGCTGTCCATCTCCAGGTTCAGCTTCCCTCCGTCGCCTCTTACGATACCCACGGGATATTTGTGGTAGTGGATATGCTTACATAGCAACTACACGGTTAAGGACCACGCTCTCACAGAATATCAACATAAAATAGCATTTATGGCCTCTCTTATTTGAAGTCGGTTACAATTGTCTGTGGACTCAAGCGGCCACTCACCATCAGATGGACTGTAAGTTCGTTAATTACTTTAATTTTGTATAAAATTTATGAATAAATAAATAATTGACTTTTTAGTTCTTCAAAACAGCGTCAATTTATTCGGGTTAGTGAATGTTAATATATCCAGATGGCTTAGATTTTCAAATCGTGAATATCGTAATTTCTTTATAAAGTTATAATTATAATATATCTTTTAGCAGACTATAATATACATGGGATAACAACACACCTGTCCTTCTGATTGGAATTGTTAGAAATGGATGGACTTTAGTCACTTTACTAGCAGGTCGACTGTAGGCTCGTTTTGATACTCTACTGTGGCGAAAGTTATTATATGCTTTATGTCAGTTGAGGTCACGTTTTTAGTTTCGTTGGTAAAGTCATTGCCTCTCCGTATGAGATAAAATGTGTCAAGATATTCTACGCTAAATTATTATTTTCTGTAATATAAGCTGCGTAAACATAGAAATTAAATTTTTATTCATATATATACTGTAATAAAAAAAAAAAAAAAAAAATGTATTTTTTGTACTACTCAGGGTGGAAGACGCTGACGGCTGTAACACAGTCTAAACTAGTATGGCCGTTAACGCTAACTACTTTGAAATTGATTTTGTAATTATATAATACATAAGTGTAACTTGTCAATTGAGAGTCGAATAAATTATTATTATAATGATTTGAATAAAAAATTTAATATTTAAATATGGACGATGCAATATTTGTCGAACAATGTACGCATTTTGTTTTTGACAGAAATCATAAAGAATTATATTGAATGAGCAACTTACTTTCAACGTAATTATTTCCGTATTCGTGTGTGAAACGAACCTGAAATGGTTTCACGGACTTCAAGAAACATCTAGGCATTTTAATTAGCACAAATTATGGGATGATCGGTGACATAAATTATATAAAATGAAATTGAAAGTATCTTTTAACAGTAATACTGTAGAGCACTTGCTATGACGGGTCAGAAAACATGCGCTAAAACAGTTTTTAAATCGGACTTCGGGCGTTCCAAATTTGAACCAAATTGGTTGCCAGCGTCATTGTCCACAGCCTAACAATTTCTATAATAAGTATTTCTTTTAAATTTAAAGTCTAATTATGTGTATTGCAACCCGAAAATATAATAGCTCGAATATCATTTAATAATTTACTATATTGAGTAAATAAAAATAAATTAAATAATATTTACTAAAATTCTCCACAAAGTCAGCAAGGTGAAATTATAAAAAATTATAACATGTTGTATTTTATGTTTAAACTTTAAACATGTAAACTAAAAACATTAATTTGTAGGCCATTTAAAACACATGTTTCGTGTAGAATTAGAACCCACGACCACGCAGTCTCCGAACTAAACGCTTAGCCACCGTGTTACAGAGACAAAACATATTTCTTCTTAGTAGTAAGAGTGACAGACTAGCACACAGAACACCTGATGGAAAATGAATGGCACTGTAGTCAATAGCCACCTATATTTTATTCTCGTTTAAGCATCAAAATCCAGATGCGTCATCACCTCTAAATACTTAGATGGAATGATCATCCATCATGTGTCTCGTAATAAATGTGGGAATATAAATAATACTTAAAAGAGTATGGCAGATTAAAATTACCGAATCAGATGGAATGATCATCCAATAAGGATCTTTATAGAGTGGGGGATTAAAACAAGACTGGGTGTAACTATAGTGTATATTATATCATATATGCTATAGCGTATCGTGTAAATCGTATTATTGTAACATTTTCTTTTATGGAATGAGGATGATAAACGAACACAGAGTTCACCTCATGGTTAGCGGATACTCTGGCTCATAGACATCTACATCTATCCTCGGTTAAGAATCAATGGAATAAACATTTAGAATCATAATGCAGATGCGTTGTTACATCTAAGAACTAAGATGGAATGCCTTATTTCCAGTAAAAAGGGCCTCCGGTTTTCTAAACTCACTATAGGAAACACAACAGCATTGAGCAGCTACTTTGCGATGGTATTGGTAAGGGAGTGTGGTCCTTCCCTGTTCGAGCCGACCCATTCGTGCTAAAACCATACAGCCGTAGCATGGCTCTAACCATTGATATAGTATATACTAGATTGGGGATGATTCCTAAATTTATGATAGTAATAGACGACCATAGTGTGCAAGGCAGAAGAAAATTCCTTATGGTAATATAGCAACATAGAAAAGGATAGCAAATTTCATGACGCTGTCACTGATTTTG